GGTGGCCCTCCGGCTGCTGGCTAAGGAGCTTCCAGAGCGGCTCCGACTTGAACTCCCGGGTGTAATGGCTGAGACCGGCCTCTACCGATCCTTTCGCTTTCGCCACCCACTTCAGGATCTCGCCAAAGATCTCCCTGTCCGCACGACGTGCTTCGTTCATTGTGGGGTTTCGCATGCCCTCTGCGGTAACCCCTCGCAGGCTGGCTACGATTCTCTCCCCATAAGCTTTCATTACGTCGTACTTGCAGCCGTCTACGATGTGAAACGCCCTTGCTCTCAGTTCGAAGAGGTCCTGCAGGGCCACCAAGTTGTCCACCACGACCGTCTCTGGGAACTCGAAGTCCGTGTCCGTCATCTTCAGACTCTTGCCCTCGACCACCAGCTCCCGTTTGTCTTTCGGCAATTTGCCCGCACGCCTCAACCTCGACTCCACTTCCATTGAAACGTATGATGCCGAAAGGTCCCATTCGGCAAGAAGGTCGCCTGCACCCTAGGGAGCGTGTGGAGCGAGGGACGTTCCCTGTCCGATGTGGCCTCGGGCATGCCGGTCTCCGCAGCCTTGTCTTCGAGCTCTTGAGCATGGGCCAGGGTGATTTTTGTCTTGCCTTCACCCTCCTCCCCTGCTAACCTCTCCAGCTGGCGCTTCGCCACCTGGGTGGAGAACCCCCAAAGCTTACGGAGGCAGCCCGTATCCGGCTCACATTTGTAGTCGTCCCATGCGAGGATCGTAGGCTTGTCGTAGACCATGATTTCGCCACTCTCGTCGCGATATGCCCCCTTCTTCCGCAGCACCTTCTTGAGGTAGTCCTCAAGATCTGCATTGGCTGGGAGGCGATAGGCCATGGCCTCGAATGTACTTATCTTATCCGCGGCCATAACCAAAAAGTCACTCTCATGAACCTCGAAGCTAACAGCAGCTCGTCCGAAGGCCAGAGCCGACTTTGCATCCGCCATTTCGGCGGTAACTCCCGGTCCGGGGGGTGCGGGTGTTTGATCCACTCATTGGGGCATCGACACATACGTCTACAATAGAGGTGTACCCATCACGTCCATACGAAAGGACATGGATCCCCAATGGAAACTCCAGCGTTGCATAAAAAATTCTGCGAACTGGGTTGCATGGCTACATGGTTTAAACAATCACACTGGCACCCGAATTTTGAGACGTGTCATATCGATCCGGTCAGATATCAAAATCTAGCACCTCCTCACTGTGCAGGGTGCATCTGTGCCTACTCGCTAGATTGAAGCCCGGCTCACTCGGATTCAGGTGTCCTGGTACTTGGTCGCCTCTGCAACGCCGCCCGCAGCGCAAGACGCCCCGGTCATTATTCTTCAGCACAAAGTTGCACAGCAAGGGGCATGCCGATGACCTAGTTCTTCTTCCGAAACACTTGTTGCAGAGTTTATAGTCCACTCCCCAGCTGTGGTCCATCTGGAGTTCCGCGAAACCGGAACCCTGGCTCCCGCACCTCGGCAGACCCCTCTCTCGGTGAGAAGGTTTGTGAATCCTTCCCTCCCCAGAGGTTAGCTGCACGAAGGTGTGGTGCATCTCCAGGTCCGTCGCTGAGGGGTCGGCTTCACTGTCATCCGAATCCGGCCCCTGCTCGACTGCGTTGGGCGCAATCTCAATCCGCTCAACCGGGTGGTTCTTGTAGCACTGTGCCAGAAGCTCTCTCTCCTTCGCCAGGGTATCCTCCAGCTCCTCTAGGTCTGCCGCTCCAGTGTCGCGCAGCGCAGGTGGGAGGTCTGAAGCAGGGACCGCGCAGCTACCACCGATCTGGCGTTCTCCCTGTTGATCCTCCGTGCAAACGATGGCGCGTCTCATGGCTTCCGTCGCCCGTTCCGCCCCGCCGGACTTTGGCAACCTCTCCTCCTTGGCGAGGGTTTCAACTGTGGCCCAATCGGGCTGTTGCAGACTGTCGAACTCCTGGCTCTCCAGGGTTTGAATCACTGCTCCACGACGAATTTGATCTAGTACCTCGATCTGCGCCTTCAGAACCAGTATCTGAGACTCGCGGAGGTACAAGTCAGGCATAAGTTCCGCTGGATCCTTCCAAGCGCCCTGAAGCCTCACCGTCCTGGTGGTGACCTCGAAGTGGGTCATATAGGTAGGCATAGTGGCCTTGCAGCTATTCCACCTCAGGTGCAATGCTTGCTCCCTGGACATGATGCTCTGGTCCCCGGCGTCTATATCGGTCAAGAGGGCATGCTTCACCGTCCGGGTATCTTCGGAGATCAAAGAGGGGTACAACTCCCATCCTTCCGACTTCCCGGTCGCCCTACCAATAAACGAATGAGTGCGCCAGTCGTGACCATGCATCACTAGGAGGAGCTCCCACCTGATCAGCCACCTGTCATTATCCGGATGCACTCCCAAGAGGCTTGCTGCCCAAGTCCTGGGGCCGGATTGGGTGTCTGCTGCCTTTGCACGAAGTCCCAACACCCCGGAACTACCAATCACCCGGCACCACTCAGCGTCACGCATTGCAGTTCCTGCCAGGTCCGAATGGCTAATACTGGATTGGGAGCAAAGGCGAAGCTTGCCACAGGCAATTCGGGTCTGGAGATCCCGATTGTCATCCAGCACCACTTTCTCCAACCAGCTCAGGAAACGGATGTCGAAGAAGGGTGTTGGTCTGAGTTCTGGCGCTTTGCCTGCGTAGTCGGTGCAGAGCCCACGGACACGGGGATGAGCGCAGCCCGGCGAATGGTACCCGAAGAGGCCTCCGAAGTAGTCAACCGCGTACAGGAAACTCAGTGGGGTGTAAAATCCCACATCTTCTTCCACCATGCCGACGACAAAGGCTTGAATGGCCTCGGGCCCCATGATCTTGGGTCCTGCGTCAGAAGGGGCTCCGTAACTAGACTCGTAGGCTTGGAGGTATACCTTCCCAGGAGCCGAGCATACCTGAGAGCTGCGCCTGCCGATTTGGGGTCAGTGTACTTATGGAAGAGCTCATAGTCGATGATCCCCTCCCTCGAGCAGACTGTGTCGAGCAGGTCCATCTCGACCGCGTGGAGCACAAGTTCCTCAAAGAGGTTGGTTGCGAGCTTTCGGTACTCCTCAAGCTTAGCCGGCTTAGCCTCTTCCAACGGTCGGCTCCTGCGGGGAGGGTCCAAAGGCACGCACGGCATCACACGAGAGGTTGTGGCCTCTGACTCTTGCGGTCGATCAGCCCTTTTGGAGAACTCCCCAAAAATCCCGGCTTCGTCCAACTCTCTGGTGACTCTGCCGGGATTCAACTCCGGCTCCGCCGCTGACGTCCCGGGCTCTTCGTCTAGCTCCTCCTCCACCCGCGGTTTCGGAGAAGGAGGGATGGGGGAAACTGCCTTCTTGGAAAATCTGAGAGGCGAGTGTGCCGGTCCCAACGCCCAGGTAGGAATATCCCGGGGTGAACGGTCGGATGACCACTGCGGCGTGGATGCCGCCGAGGATGAACCCTCTGAGACGGTGGGTGCCTTTATCTGCTTCTCCACCTTCTTCTCCATCGTCCGACTGGAGGGAACCATCCGGGATGTCTCCGGTGGTCTCTCCTCCGATTGGGACTTTGCTACAGGTCTTTCAGGACCTTCTGCCCCTCCTTGGAACTCCAAGGGTTGATCTCCTTCAGACCCACTCCGGATTGCTTCCAGGATTTCGCTCGAAGGGATACCACTTTCAATCATACGCGCGATCTCCTCTCGGGCAGACCAGGCCCCGGCTGCGAAGAGCCCGCTCGTCTTGCCCAACTTGGTCCTGTCCCTTCTAGGAGAGGTTGCGTCGATCCTTTTCGTTCCTGGTCCTCTCCCTCGGCTACCGCTGCGACCACGGCCTCGAGGGTGGTCGATCGAGGTTGCCGGCCGTCCAGCGGGGGACTCATCCTGCGCCCAAAGAGGAACAGACATCTCCCCCCGGTGATTTAAAACAGGGAGGACTGTTCGGGTGCAGGGACTTGACCCAAAATGGCCACGTTGTTCGTCCCTCTAAGCAGACATTTACTTTAGTACATGTTGCACAATCTGTATATACCTTCAGGCTCCCCTCAGTTTCCTTGCGTCAGTGTCATGGCACCTCCTGTTGGGAGGCCGAGAACCCCCTCCTTTTGGTTTGCAAAGTGGCCCCGGTGAAGCAGATTGGAGAAGAACTCAGACTGATCTAAACTACCGACGCCGAGACGGTAGAAAGCTAGGTTCGTTCATCCGCCAAAATTGATGCTTAAACACATAGAATAAATCAGGATGAAATCAGGTTCAAAGATGTTAAAAGTCCGAACCAAGGTGGAGCACATCCACCAATCTCCGGATTGGTCCCAGTCCCTCGTGCCGCCTGTAGGCGGAGAAGTCATCCAAAGCCCAGAAGTGATTGCTGTGGCTTCTTGATGCACTCCGCCGAAGATCCCCTCAGGAGCTGCTGAGTTCGTCACGAAAGGCATCATTGGGATGTGGCACTTGGCACTCTCTTTTTCTTTCTTTTCACCACTAGATCTTGCTTGGCCATGCCCATCCAGTTTCTCGAACTCCCTAAAGCTGCTTCAGCTAAACACCTGGACCTACAGCCAGGTCATCAGTTATTTGCTTCTTCGCCGTGGCACTTGCATCAGCAGCCCATGCAGCTGCTTGATACTGCTTACTCCGCGATCAAACATGTGACATGTGCATTTCCCGTTGCTCCACCCAGCTGCATTCTACGAGTAGTGATTCTATTGGATAATCTGTTGGGTCAACCCGACCAATCCCTGGCCACACTGCGTCCTTGGCGCGGCTCCCACAAAAAGGGCATGAGATGTGATGTGCCAGTTCTGTTCACCCCACCCATCACTCAAACCAACAAAAAAACGGAGGGTACCAAAGACAAATGGTAGCATAGGTTTGGAACGCCCAGGATGAAAGGCGAATAGCAAATTTCTTTCAGCTTGAATCGATTCAAAGTTATTCTTATGATTTTCGATGGGTCCCTTGCCAGTTCTCTGAGCACACCCACAGCCCGAACTAACTGTGGCCAAGTCATAGCAAGTCACTCAGGGATGAACTACGCGGCAACTCATCCTGAGCGATGCAGCCGGGCTGGGGCGGCTGGCGTCCACACGGCGTTTCTGTGGGAAGGCCGCTTTGCTTCTTCAAGCGTATCGGAGTCTTCAAGCTGTTCTTAGGAAACTATCCAAACGCATCCGAACACCAAGAATCAAAACGGACCAGTGAACAAAAGACCTTCAATAATCAATTGAATCCATTCCGCAAAACAACACATCTGTCAAGAAAAACAACACGCGGACACACAACACACATCGACATACGCGACCACGCCCAGCGGCCCATGCACGTGCCCGGGGAACGCTGCGGTCGCGCCGGTGCCGGCGGTCCAGCTCCGAGCGCCTGGCGACCGGACGCTCCGGTCAACAGCGTGACGGCACCGGGCAATGCACCAGTGGTGGGGACGGAAGGCCATGTGCACCATGGCTTTTGGCAGAAAAGGATGACAGGATTGAGGTCCGCCACAGATATGAAAGGCTCATCATGAGAGGCCTTTGGTATCAGTCCTTGGAGGATTTGAAGGGGACTGTAAAGCAAAAGTGTGGTTTGAGGAACTAGCCCTTTCACCAACACTCGGCTGCCTATAGGCCTATACCGATACCGTCCTATAGCCACTAACCACTTGGAGATTTAAATTGTTGATGCTCGTTGCTACTTTAGAAGGCAACCCCTTTTGGATTTTTTTTGCAATTCATTGTGTCCTATATACCCTCACTGCCTATCTTAGCCTACCTTACTAGAAAACTAAACATGGATTCGTCAGTAGCGCAGGCTTCTCAAAAACCAACTCCTTTGTTACTACATCCTGATCCCAGGACCAAACAACTGGAAAAGAACAGGTGAGAGTCTGACAGAGTTTTGGAGATCTACTGGAAAAAGAACACAAGAACCATCAAGAACCACCAAAACCACAATACCCTGAAAGTACCCGAAGTTTTAGTTTAGATGGCCTGCGGGTATCTACGGTGTTTATATTTGGACAAGCTGTATTTCAATGACAGGAGCCCAATGTTTGTGGTCAAATGGACCCCAAACAAGATGTTGGAAGCTACTAGGAACAAGTGCATCGCTACTAGTAACAAGTGCCTTACTACTAGTAACAATAAGAATTTCAAACACGAATTCACACATGTTCGGCCTTTTGTGGGATAACTGTCATTTGGGGAACACTCAATGAATCCTAACGTGTATCAATTAGCTCCTTGTAGTTCCTCTCTTCTTGCTTTGTGTTGTTTAATCGGTTGCAGGTCTAAAGAGTAAACGATCGGTTTGATCTCGCAAGTAGAGTCATTAACACCTCCGATCTGGAACGGCCATGCCTCTAGAGCAGAACGTGCAGAAACAATATACTTCCAGGAACTCTGCAGATTCGCAAACCACCCAGAAAATCCTCCGAGACGCCCGCGCCGAATGCTTGAACTCGATCTACTCCGCATACTCCTTGTGTCGTAGTCGTCGCCTGGACCGTCTCCGCCCACGCGCGATCCGTCCGTTCACGTAGACTACGGGACTGACGGGACTTTGGAGGGGAAAACCCATGAACAAAGCGATGACTGTCTTCTACGGGCTCGGGCCACACAAGAATACATCATCTTGTGGGTCAGCGATGAAAGTGGTTCGAAAAGCTCTTAAGAAAAACCCATGAAAACGGTCACCCCAACTGAAGCGCCACCCCAAAGAACCCCTTTCAGACCCCTTTCTTCCCCAGAACATGGGGAAAATCCAAACCTCCCCCCGCCTGGGCCTTCCAAATACGTCCACGACCGATCCATGGCACTGAAAACCGGATTTGGGCGGACCTGTGATGTGGATGGCGGTCCTCATGCGGTCCCTTCGTGGGGTCCTGGTCGGATGCATTTAAGTCTGTATGCTAAAGTGGGGTCGGATTGTAAAACCTCACCTGGCGGATGGCAGCAAAGCTGTGCAAAAGCCGTGTTAATTTCGGTACCCCTGCAGAAAGGGTGTCTTCATGGAAGTTCTTTGAAGGCTCTTCATTCATCGTCTGCAAGGTTCCAAAACAGAATCACTATCAATCACTGATCTTTTCTTCATCTTGGCCTCTTTTGCAAACCAATCTGCCTGCCCAAGCATCATGTGTGAACTTTGCCATGAAACTGTAACAGCAGCCAACTTGGCTGGCCAACATCAAGCTCAGCCCAACAGCCATGGTCCGGGATTCATGCATCGAGGGCATGGTGCAGGCCGTCTTGTGCAAGGATACCCCAAAGCAACACATGACCGGCATATGAGCCAGCACCTGTATATATATCTTGTATAGATTATACTTATTGAATTGCGGCTTGGGTTGGGTTGTTTACTGTTGTTCTTTGACGAAAACACAAAAATCCCGTATATGAATGACACTCCGGACTCCTGACCATTCAATTTACACTGATTGAATCGACTACGTATCAATATGCCGCATTATCCATTCACAAACCTTGGTTCTGGCTTCGGTTTCGCGATTGGTTTCTGGTTTCAGTTGTGACCTACCAGAGCCCAAAGTCACAAACCTTCACCGCTCCAAACTGGAAAACACCTCCTTCTTTAAACCGTATAAAGCCCATCCAACCAACGCTGAAAACCTTCCCCCCGACCTACCCTCTCATCGAACAGCGGCTCGCGGCTGTCCCGTTGCTGGAGCTGCTCGAAGTTCACGCCCAGCAACTTGAACCTCAAAGGCAAAACAGACCGCCTGGTCCACACGCACCGGCGGCGTACTAAACACCGGTGGACCGGTCGATCGGCACAGCGTCCAGGTGATCCATGGATCAGATCCAATTATGGCACGTTCTTTATTTCTTGACCACCAGAGATAAAACAAAAAAACAGGTTAAACCATGATCATGTGCATGGTGCCGGCATCAAGGGAAAAACAAAACGCGATGTGAGGGTCTCGTGCGGGTCTCGACAACTGCTCCCAAACCCAGGCCTCGTGCCTCAGTGCAAGCCGGACGAGGTGGGAGTCCTTGACGTCACGTGTGTAACTAGACCGAGACACCACCACTCCGTACACGTGGTGAAGTGAAGTGTCATGCTGTCATGCTGAGGTTCTTTGGTGGTGGTGGTGCTGGGGATACGCATGCTGTCTTCCTCAGTCTCTGCACGTCGTCCCTCCAAAAAACCATCGCCCATCCTCTGGAGCGACTTTCTGCCAACAACCCCCCGACCACGGAGATCGCCCACTTGAGGTCCACCTCTGTGGCGCCCGGACACCAACTCGATGAGGCCCATATTGCTGAGGAACTCCTCACGGAGAAAACGTGAGAAAACGATGGTTTCTGATGGCACCTACAGGATCCATGGCACCTGCAGGATCCATGGATGAGTCCAAGAACACAGCGGGTGTTGGTCGATCTGTAGTAGAGATGATAGCTTGAAAGCCTGCGGGATCTTGACCTAATCTCAAACATCACTCAGATTGGCCGACCCTCGGCTGGTCTAGGGGCTGGCTCCGTTGAACATGACCGTTGAACATGATCATGGTTAACTCCACCCCAGTGAAGGACTGTTCAAAATGATACGCCACGTCACCAACTTGTCGTAGAGAACATTCACGGAGTTTCGCAACTTTGTTTTTTGTGTTGCAGGCTAGTGGGCAACACCAATATTAATTCATATTGCCATCTCACCGCAGAGCCCTCTTGAGTTCCAATGGCCAAGTTGGCCACTTGGTTCGCCAAATTCATTTATGTTATGTCTGATCGGTTGTGACCCTGTGACATATAGTTTTTGCAATCGCACCATAGGGTTTTGGCCCAAATGCACCCCAAAGAATGTTATTACACATGTACCAGTACTGTATGTCACTGTATGTAATGTTCCTCCAATGTTCCAGGGCGGCCTGCCACCATCATTTCGACCAAAACCCCGTGCAATCTGACACCTTGCCCGCCCTTGGCGCCCTTGGCCCCCGAAACCTGGTTCCGCAAGTTTGGCCCTGCGGAAAATGTCACAGTTGGCAAAGCCACGGTTCCACAGCTTTCCCAAATCACTGGGCATGCAAAATGATCTGAGGGAATATATATATATATATTATATAGTTTCCAAACCCCAACAATGTAGAAGGTTGCCACGTTGACTACCAGTCATTTCACGTCTTCATGCGTTTATTGGGTCACAACACGTCCCCAACAAAAACAAACACATCCTCAGGTCCAACTCTGGAATTTCAGCCATGGAAGTGATGCTGGGTTCAATTTGGAATTGCTTAGACTAACTACATTGCTATATTTAACATGGCATTTCATCAAATGCAAGTTTCACATATAGTATTTACGGAGATGCGATGTTTAACCTCCAAATAGAATGTTTAACCGTTTAACCACCAATCCCATATCAACATGTTCTGGAAAGGGTGAAGTGTCCCCACCTGACTCCTCCCAAGCAAATACTCCATGACCCGTGCCAATAGGCTGATATAACCCCGAAATCGCTCCCACAATTCTATTATAGCAAAACTGCCCTCACATGTCTTGATGCCAAACAAGGTATATTGGGCAGTTCACTTGTTTTCCCTCCGTGATCTATCAAATACGCCCACAAAGCAGTCCAGGATCCTGCCAGGGGTGTGAAGGAAACAGGGCCTCCGGTTTCACGCTTAATTCACATATATTTCACGCTAGGTATGTTTAAGTCCCACTCCACCTTCGAGTTGCTCTTCGAGTTTTTGTGGGCCATTTGATTGAATTTGGCAATTTCATAGCTATGGGGCTCACCAGTCTTGGCGAAGAAACCCTTAGCATTTCAAAAAGATCATGTGTCGTAAGATGTGTTATCTCTCAATTTATGCCCCTGCAACAGAATGGAAACACGGCAGAACCCCTTCGTTGAAATGTATCATGTTTGGGTTGCAAATGCAAAAATATTAAAATGCGATGCTTGACTAGCCAAGTCATGGTATTTGGCAAATACCAAGCTTAACCTCATCCTTGAAGCGTAGAGTATATATCATGTGCAGGTGCGTAAATTTCAGGACCACATCACATCACCACACCATTCCACCCACCGAAGCACCGGCTGGCCAAAACAGAAAAATCGCGACACGAGGTCATGAAAACGTCACGCGCGGTTGTCATGAAACTTCTTCAACAGGGTAACTGATTCAGAAGCAAGTTCATATATACTTGATTTTACAGAAATATATAATCATTGCAGTAAATATATATCTATATATATACATATGTATCACATACGCGTAGTTACCATATATAACATTGTTCTATGTGAGGCTACCTCAAGTTCGAAAGAAAACGCCTGACATCCGCTCCAATTAAATCATGATGAGCGAGAAGTAACGTCTGCGTGCCGTCCGCTTGCAGTAGAGAGACCGCTTACCATTCTCGTCAAGGCCCATGCAAAAACACAGGTGCGCACTGAGAAAACAAGGCGGCAGTTTGGGAGGGCAGGACTCTCTCACAATCTCCAATCCTTGCATCGGAAGCAGCAGCTCATAGGCCCGCGTCATGCGACCAAAAGTTCCCCGTGCCGCCTGATGTAAAGTGAGGATGGGCTGCAAGACGTCTGAAATCCCCTGCTTGGCGTCTGGCATCGGAGACACCTCCCTAAAACTCCGGGGCAAATGACCATGACAAATGTCAGTCCGAAGAGTCCAATATTTGCAACATATTTGGTAAACGGGGGGCCTACCCAACTCAACTCATCGTCTTGGAGCTCATGAATTCCAAGACGGTCACTTAGTTGTTTTCAAAACAATATCATCAGCTCATCCTACGCAACATGTCCGTAACGCATCAGCGCATCATCCGCATCATGTCCGTCACGCATCAGCGCACCATTAGCATCATGCACGCGGCGCGGCAGTTCATCATCCGTATCATCATCACCATCCTCATCGTCATCATCATCATCATCACCACCACCATCACCATCCCCATCGTCATCCTCTTTCTCTTTCTCGACGCCCTCGGCTTCATGAGGTTGCGTTGACCCCTTGACCTCAGGATGAGGTGGACCTGTACTGAGCTCGATACCACGAATGGTCAGCCAAAAGCTTTCAGAAGCTGCAGTGACAAGTCAGCAGTGGTCTGCTGCGCTCGTTCTATCTGCTGCCCTCGAAGAAAGAGGTGAAGCATCCCAATAATGGAAAAAAGCCAAGGGCACACGTGTTCATCCATGTTCAAAATCTCAGCATTAAATGGCTGACAAGCGCAAATCCGATTGGGAAGGGCTCGTTTCACGAACTGTTGGAGAAGGTCCTCACTCAGCTGGGGCCAAGCTGGGGCCAGAGCGACGGGTGGTGCTGTGGTGCTCCTTCATGTGCAGCAGCTAGCTAGGCGGCCGCGCATCACACAGCAGGCAGCGCTTGGTGAGGATGCTGCACTGGGCTGGCCAATCGACCAGCAGCGTCACATCGAGCCGATCGACCGGCGAAACCCAAGCGTCAATCCAAGGTGACTTTTGCGAGAAGGCATGCTCCAGGTTCCAGAGCATTTCCTCCTTAGTCAGCAGCGCTAGTGAGCCAGCAGCAGAAGGTGAAGGCTTGAGGTCCACCATCTCCGCTTCACCATGCTCCATCCATCAGCAGCCATAGAATGCACACAGTCCTGAGTACGGCATCGGGCAACACAGAGTGTTTCTCCGGTGGAGCATCATCATCCAGCAACAGCCAATGGGTATCTGTCCAAAGCGCTGTTCTATAGTGGCCTGAATGGAAGTCCAGACCAAGGTGATAGGACAGCGCAATGACCCTGAAGGGGATGTTGTCAACCGCCATGGTGTGATTCAAGAAGTGGGGAACCCATATGGCGGAGGACCAACGAAGGTTTTGAGAGCTTTTGTTCCCCTGATTGTTGAATCTATCGACTTGAACACAAATCAGATCAGCATGCGTGGTCATTGCTTGGAGCCCGTAGGATTCCTGTGGCCAAGCCGTGAAAAGTCTGTGACATCATCATTTTTCTCATCGTGCATCATGAAGTCCTGGTGCCAACATTCAAGGAGTTGATCAAGGAACCTGAGTGGTATGAAGAATGTCATTAGGACTTATACGTGCACGTCTCTCCTCCCAACGATGAAGTTGAGCTTGAAGGCAGCAGGGCACTCACAGGATGCTCCAGACCATGTGCCCGTAAAAAGGCTTTATGGGATGTATGGGGTCAAAAAAAATGATTGTCACCAATTTGCCGAAGTTGATTCATCATGTGATTTCATGTGATGTTGAAATTGCACAAGCATTGAACGTGAAACACCCAAAGCATCAAGGCCATAGACAGCTATGGGGAAGATACACGTAAACCATAATGAATGTTTTTGCTCCAGCGTGAGGTGGTTACCCCTCTTGAACCAGGTGTGCATTTGTTTGTATCGAACTCCACAAGCTCCAAGCCGGTGTTTCATGGTCAAAGACAGCGTTTGCCTATAGCCAATTTTCATCCCTCCAGCAGAACGGCGGATTTGGAGAGACTCGCGATCATCCCAAGGTCTGCCAGCACATCCAACACGTCCAAAACATGGAATACCATGTTCAAATTCTGAATCCGTGGTAAAAAGAAAAAAAGGTGTCCATCGTCCGCATAGAAGGTGCAAGCAGCTTTCATCCAGGAGGTGCATGTGGCAGCTCCAATTTGGTTCAAAAGTAGTGCCACGAAGGATGCCCAGAAAAAAGGAGCTCCACGACAGCCTTGTCTCACACCCTTGTAAGTGTTTATGGGTTGTTGTCAACCCTTAAAGTCAGGACATACTGAGTGCATGTGTGCCAGTGAAGAAGAACTTGGGAAACAGAGTTGGGAATTTGCAGTATCTCAAAGGCCGTGTGGAGCGCCTCGCGTGGCATGATGTCAAAAGCCTGAGTGAGGTCCACGAACAACTGGCATCCTCCATACAGTTTGGGTTTGCCTTTCTCAGTGACTCTCAGGCGGCCAGCATTGTACAGGTGCTTCTGTCAGGAAAACAGGCAAACTGGGGAAGTTGGAGCAGTTGGGACAATGCTGCTTCTTTCACCTGACTGACAAAAAGTGACGTGACACTTTTGGCCAGTGGGGTTTGCAATGACTTGTTGGGCTTGGTCAAAAACACAATCCATCCGCATCGCCACTCCTCTGGAAGTTGACCCGCTCGAAACCAGTGCTCACTCCATCCTTCCAACAGAGCGCCAATGGGAAGTGAGAGTGATTTCCAGAAAAAACAGGAGCAATGTGGGAGGCTTTACGTCCAGCTAGTTGTTTCAGCTCATATGCAATCTGCTGTCCAGCGAACGGTGAGAAATGAAATGAAAAAGGAGGCAACTTCATATCCTCACCTTTGTACAGTTCAGTCATGTAGGACCAAAGGGGATCCATCTCTTCAGCTGGTGAAAGCAGTTGTCCAGTTGATCCACGGAGCTGCGGTCTGCGTGCGTAGCTCTTGGGAGTGAGTGCACCAATCGTTCGGAAATAATGTGTGTTGTTGTTGGCCCCCAAAAACCCGAGCCGTGTCCACAATTTGCTGCGCCCTGTGTCTTCTGTGTGCCAGTGCATTGCGCCTGGCCTGTTTCCTCCACTGGTCTCGTTTCACGACCTGCCTCCACACGATGCCAAGGAGCTGAGTGCCCTCCCAGTTGTCGATCACCGGAGCAGAAGGCAGTGTTTGGGCCCGTAGTCCATCGGTCCTGAGGCGCGGGGCAGGCAGGGCGAAATGTTCTGCCGGGAGATCTGGAGCCTTGGCGTCCAGTTGTAAGATCTGGTGAGTCACCTGCTGTTCCAGAGTCTTCGAGGAGGTGTTCCCAATGCCATTGCAATGTCATTCGTTGAGCTTTGGGGAGTCCATCATGTTGTTTGGGGCATAGAAACGTCTCCATGGTATCCCAGTCATGAGAGGTACATGATCACGACAAAGGCCCATCATCTGGGCGAGTTCATGAAGGTAGGTCACATGTTTGGAAAAACTGTCTCCATCCCGTTGCTGGACCAGGATGAAGTCAATCCTGGAGCGGGCCTGCTTTGGCCCTTCGTAGGTGGCGCCCAATTCTCTCTGCTAAGCGTTCAAGGCGGTGAGAGAGAAGGTCTTCAGGAGGTCCTGAAAGGCCGAGCGGTCACTGTGGTAGGGGCCAATGACACGGCCTTGGTGGGGAGCAAAGTCAATCCAGCCCACACAATGAGGTTGATGGTGGAGACTGGTGTTGAAGTCCCCTCGAATGATCCAGCAGTTTCTACGAGGAAAACCAGCTCAAGTTTGGCGGATGGAATTCCAAACCTGTTGTCGTTGTTCCAAACAGTTGGAGTGACCCGGAGTCATAGGATGTTGGTATATGTTGAGGATGTCCACATTCACCGAAGTTCGTAGAGCCTAACGTGCTGGATCCTGCTGTCCAAAGTCGTGGTCCATGCAATGTCATCCAGTTCACAGAAGGAGCGCTTCACAACGGTGAGCAAACCACTTCTGCCTTGGTGGGCTCCCGTGTGGAGATATGCATAGGACGAGTCATGCCACTCTCCAGTGAATGTCAAGCAGTTTAGAGCCTGATTGTGAAGCCAGGCCCGCAACATGTCCCATTTCACCACACTAAGTCGTCCAATGTTCCACGAGAGAATCGAAAGACGACCTTGACGAACTCGAGACGGTGGATTTCGATTTCGAGTAGTCGCAGTGGGAGATGGGTTGGAGAGAGCCTCAACCTTTGGAACTGGGACATCCGTCAGGCAGGGACGCGGCCGTGGTGTCACTCCCAGCTGTGCAGCAGTCATGTACTGTCCTCGATACCACGTCACGCCATGAATAGTGGCTCGCTTCAGAGCCTTGATGTAGGCCCTTTACGAGGAACACAAGGTCGGGGAAAAAGCTCCATGTATAAAACTGTTGGGTCTGTTGCCATCTTGCTTTGTCAAAGCTTTGGAGTGAGGGAGACACTTGATGACTTCATCAGCTCCGATGGCAGAGCTGAAGCCCTCGGGCTGCCAAGGAAGGCTTCTGTGTTGTGTGGAAATGGAGGCATGAACCAGAAAAAGGTGAAGTCCAACAATTGCTATGCCCTTCCAAGTCCAGGGTTTGGGACCTGGAGGAGTGTTAAAGGAGACCGGGTTCACCACTCACAGAATCGTCACGAAGAAAAAGAAAACGGTGGATGTACTTGATATACTTCCGCCCTCACCAACTTCACAAGCCCGAGCGCCGGATCAGGTGGCGCTCGTTCACGTGCCAGGAAGCAGCGGCTGGGGCAGCACGCGGCCGCCGTCCGTCAGGTGGGAGAAGAACAGCGGGATGCAAAATCAGCAGGACGAAGAACACCACGACATGAAGCGAGTGGAACCGACGAGCTTGAACACTCGCAGCCCTTATCGTCATCCTCATCCTCATCCTCATCATCATCCTCCTCCTCCTCCTCATCATCATCATCGAAGTGGATCGTTTGCATCGCACCAAACAATGCTGTGTCATCGGAAGGGTTAACTTTCCGGGAGCCCCCCCCGCGTTGACCCAACATATTGCAACCAGGTTTGGTCCAATTTCTGGATTGGAATTGCAAAAGCCCCGTGCTTTGAGCAAATGAAGACTGAGGTGTCCCATTTCTCATTCAAGCAAAGCCATTCAAGGCCGAGCCGAGTTTCTGTGGTCGCCCGCTTCCACACAAGGCCCCCAACTCGTGTGATGAGAACCCACCCACCTTGCGCCAATTCCGTGAGCAAGGTCAAGGCGGACTTCACCTCGCTTCGGGTCCCTGGAGCGGTCTTCGTCGAAAACCAGAACTCATCCAAAGAGCCAGGGAAGTCACCCAACTATGGTTCTGACCTGGCTTTGCTCTATCTCAATGCCACAAATCGATCGCTTTCTCATCCGGAGGGAGGGAAGCTGCCCCTGCAAGGCGCCGGCGCTGTATTTTGACTCCTCCTTTCACCTGGTGAGTCTAGCACCTGACATCGCTTGTCCACCTATCTGCCATGGTTTCAGCAAATCTTCACTTCAGCGAGATATTGCACTTCTGGACGTCGTCCAGAAATGGGAGCCCCGGACGCACTTCAGCTCGCTCAGGGAAGCATAGTTGGTCTCGGCGGGAGAAACGCAAAAGGTAGAGGATGGATCTTCATGTAGACTCTTGATTCATCAACCCCCCATATAGAAGAGGTTGTTCAATTCAATTGGGGGAGGTTATCTACATTAAAGGGTCAAACTGCTTGGCGCCGTCAACTCTTTCGTTGATCAACCTGTGGCTGTTTCGACTAAGTCTAGCGGCCCTGGTGGGCACCTTTGGGGACAAGACCTGAGAAGAACTCTTCCAGTCACTGGGGAAGTTGTGAAAGTCTCCCTTGTTGAGTGGGAATGCACAACACTATACATACGATGATATACACTCTGCGACACTATAGAATTCAGGATGCATTTTCCCGCCCTCGTGATTTGCAATCCAAAACGTCCAGTTGATAATTCCGTACGACCACCGGAAAGGGGACAAGGACGTTTGGCTCTCTATATTTGCTTGTCCGCTTTACTTCAGCCATAGGTCGCGCATCCAAAAATGCATCCCAGATATCCCAAGCCATCCATTCAAGTGATGATGTCTTTAGAGCCAGTGGCCCCTGGACTGGTGCGTGACCACCCTCTGAGCTTCCGGACGCCCTGCGCGTCCTTGCACAAGCGAGACAGCCTGAGAAACCGTCCACCGGGCACGGTTCAAGCGCGACACAGCTTAAGGGACCTGGAAGCACAAACAGATACATGTGAAGGCAAACACGGGAACCAAAGCACTTTGCATTGTTGAATCTGATCTGCTTCCAAATTGGTCAAGAAAAGTCTTCAAACATGTTCAACGCCATATTTTCCGGGCTACGGCCGGTGAGGTGGTGGTGACGCTACATGGCCCTGGTCGGGTGACATCTGTTTGATCTCCAAGACCGGGAACTGGTCACCAACGGTGTCCCTCAAACGGTTTCCATGGGGAAGAGAGAGAAACAAAGGATACGTCCAAATACTACTGTTACAAAGGATACGTAACTGTACAACAAGGTACTTGTGACGGAAACATCTTTCTTTAGCAAGCAGAACAACGGACCTTCATGACAACGGACATTCTTCCATATGCGCAAACAAAGCTCATTGTATCCTCATACTGAGGGATGGATTGGGGAGAAGGGCCGAAACTTTGTGAGGGGGAACTTCAGCAGTAGCCCGCCAACTGAACAGAATTACTTGGACAACCCAACATCACCACAGCATGCCATTTTGGGGTGAATGTCCAAAACTACCCCTGATTCGTGGGAGGTTGGACTGAACAACGCATCGAACTCTCTACCCGACCTACCCTGCACCGCTGTGTGAAAAAAAAACAACGGGGACATCCTCCCAGGGGATCCTTGATGCCGTGTCAGGGCCAAGCGGCAACCAGCTGCAAAGGCCTGGGACCTCAGTCGAACTCCCATGAGAATGATAGCTGGTATAGGGTCGACATCTAGGAGCAAAAATAAGGTAGCTGGGTCCCAGAATTGGTGTCAATTAATATTCACAGGACATCCATAATTAGTTTGGGAGGTGAACACAAGGCTTTCCTGCAGATTTTCCCTGAAACCAACTCATTGACTGGTAGGGTTTTTGGACTCTGATTCATCCAAAGCTGTCCACTGCTATTATTGATCCTGCCATTTGTAGGCATAGGTGATACAGGTGACCACCATTCCATTGTTGTTTTCCTGGAAGGTGTACCTGCCGCCTACTCAGTGTCAAAGTTTGAGGGCATTATATGTTGTTTGCTTCAGAATCTTTAGAGGGTAAGTTTGGGGCAGTATGTATCCAAGTTTGGCCGCAATGCGTGTAGCTGGTGAACCACCGCCAAAGCTGGGGATCATAGATTCACACCGAATCTGGCGACCTGAACACGAGGTGAAAAACCCAAACAAACAAGCCTGACTGGATCCCGAATCATTAGACGTTGCTTCCAAATAACTTCCATAAATTTCTAACATATTCTATACCTATTTGACATGCATCATTAGACTTCTTAGTTGTTGTATTTTGTTGGACCCCTCGATCGCTGTTCTAGGCAATTGGTCTGATCTCCTAGATTCTCCAGGTAAAAACACGGACTCCGGACGGTGAATGGCTTCAAGAAGGTCGGTCGGCTCCGGTTCTGTTGGCCGAAATCGAACTACACATGTCTGATTCACTTGCAACTTGGGGTGCAACTATAGTTCGGAAACTCGCCCCAAAGGTTCAAAACTGGGGAAGTTGAGAGATTGAATCCGATGAACCAAGCACTGCCACTCAGGCGTCTGCATCCAATCACACACTGGTGTGGGTGTTGCGACACATTCAATCGATCGACTTGCCGCGTCGGAGCGACTTTCTCGGATCGATCAGCGCGAATGAGTTCAAACGTCATTCGAAGTTGGATGACTCGACATAGTCAAATCATGTCAAATCGGTGCATCCAGGAAGCCCGTGGCAAGCCAGCGAGCGCATGCCGCAGCACGCACACCCTGCTTGAAATAAACTCTTTAAAAGTAGTCTGTCCAGTGCTGTTGCAAAGGTCATTTTGAGCTCGATCTGTTTGGTCTAAGAACTGGATGCACCGCGGCAAAGCGAAATGCAATTCCACTGCGTTCCGTGCAGTTCGGCCCAATGGAGCAGCATGCAGCATGAGATCTTGCATCTTCTTCCAAGGCGTCCCTGTGCACAAAATAGAACATTTACAAACAACATAGGGATGTCCTTTCAAAGGGGTTGTCAGCAACACCAATCCCTTGAGAGTCGGATGGGCGGAAACCGTTGCTTCGGTGGGGAATGATTGGTCCGAATCCAAGACCGTACCAAAGCCGGTTCGGAGAACCACACGAATCAACAAGATCGAGTATTGAAGTATTGGATCACCCAACACACTCCATGTCTTGCCATATTTACCCGTGGCATCAAGGAATGCATACGACGGAATGCCTCATGTACATGATGTACTTACAGTATGGAGTGCGTGGATTACAGTGAGTCTACCTACCTGTCGCTCGTGCAAAGCACGGATGGCGGATTCTCCGGCGGCATCATGGGCGGTTTCTCCGGTCCTCATGTCCGGGATAACCCACCCTCGCCGCCAATCTGAGAGAAAAATGGTAGCAAATCACATCAATAAATGGAATCTAAGGAGTTCATGTCGATAGAGAACGATAGATCCGATAGTACATCAACAGAACCTTCTCCATGATCAATCCCCTCAGACCTCTCCGCAACTTCACACACACAAAACTACTCGAGCGCTGCGCTCTCCGGCTGCCCAAGTGGCCCACCGGGGCCGCACAATCATGGGCTTAAAATAAAGAGAAACATATATGGGTCTTCCGTGCCGCGCAGTGGCACTGCTTCAATTGGATCAATGACTTCCGCGTACTTCCGGAACGCGGAAGTAGACACTGGCGGAGGCCCTCGGGGCCTCTCACACCACGATTTCGATGCCATAAGGGTGGCAGGTGGGGTTCCTCGGAGTGTTGAGTGGAATTGAACATGGAAGTGGCGCCCGTGAGATGGAGTGAAGAGCCGGCAAAGTGTTCATTCATTTGGGGATCTTGGATATATAGCATGTATATATATATATATTTACCTGGAACCTGAATGACCTCTATTTTGGACCACCAACCACCCAAAATATGGTCTTTTCTTGTCAAAACAGAGGTCAAATGGGTTCCAGGTATATATAGTTAATTGGTATACGGTATGCATTTATACGCGGCACATGTAAATTGAGACATACAAGGGCCAGGGTTTGAATGGCCTATCTAGAACGACCACTCGATTCTCGATGTTTACTCGAAATTAGACGTCACTTGAGGCAAAAAGCAAAACGGTCGGCGCTGTTCACAGTCGGTCTCAGTCTTGGTCAATTCAACATGACAGCCATAGAAACCCCAATCGTCATAGAACAGTTGTAACATGTTTTAGGACTATCTTATTGGTGAGAGCCCTTTTGTTTGACAAGAACCCAATCCTGGGATGGGAATCTTTGTGCAAACCAATCGGGATTCCATAGAATTCCCTGCCAAAAGGCTCGTCGGGCATTTCCTGCACTTGTGCACCCTGGAAGATGCGCTCATGGAAGTACCACCTTGGTTTTCGGGCAAAGCACACATATTAAAAACAAGCAGCAAAAACATGTCTAAAGCTCCAGAATCTTGTGCCAGTTGGTTGGTTGGAAGTTCTCATCTTTCCTAGCAGTTCTGGCTGGCCAATGCTGGCCAAGCATGGTAGAAAGCTGTTTAGCGGGCGCAAACGACATGCGGGGATGCTTCCCTCTCACCAACATTGTTTCCCATGAAGGAACGGCACACAGCACGCCCCTACCGGCCCCTACCTTACAAAGTATACCAACACTGTAATATAGCACGAGCAGGTAGCACGCTGGAAAATCAGGGGGTAGCTGATTCACCTGCACCAGTGACATCTGGCAGGTTTTCAGCACATGGCCATCTAGTCCATCAAACTCCTACAGGTCAAGGAGTCCAAAGCATGGCAATCCCGGGAGAGGCTGGACAGACTGTTTTTGGTTTTCTGGCGCTCCCAGAGCTTCGCGTCGTGTGTGACAGGTTCAGAAAGGCATCAATCTTCCTTTTGATCTCACAATCGGATATGAGGAAACCGTGGGAACCAAAATTTAAGGCCGCAGGGTAACTTCACTTGAGCCGACAGCTGGTAGCCTGCCACATTCCAGCTTCAGAACCACTAAACCCCGAATACCAAGAACCAAGAACCTGATGATCAGGCTCATCAATTCATGAGGTATTGGGTTCTTGGGGCGGTAGGATCCATATCCCAACTAATCCATTTCAAGCCACGCGCTGATGGCGCCGCGTAGGCTTTGCCCGTTCACCACCAGCCGGCGCCAGCCATCCTCAGAAGCCCGGGAAGTGGAACCTGTGACTTGTCGGCAGGTGAATGCAAGTGAGTAGGTATAGCTACTGAGGTGAGTAGGTCTCCAGTTTCTCCATCGGTCTCCAGGTTTCCTACCACAGTGGAAACCACCAGTTTTGGGATCCAAATCTGTGATAACTGCCTCTTGCCGCCGGTGATGTCTTCTGGTGCTGCGAGACAAATTGTGGTCAAGCAGCTCCACAGCATTACACTGCAGAGTGGAAAGTTAGTGAGACACTCTCAGACTTGTCGCCCGAAAAAAAAGAATAGTCCAGCCGTCCAACCTCATATATATATATATATATTAATATCACGTGTACAGAGAGCGAGCAAATGATGTACATTTTGATTTTTGGCTTTGCGGTCACTTGCAGCCACTTGCTCAGCCAGCCACTTGGCAGCCACTTGTCACTCAAGCAAGCACTGTACTTTGAGTTCTTTATGTAAAAACTGAAAGATTTCTTCGTCGCTAGCTCTGCAGAAGTTTGGAATCAATTTATTATCGGAAAAGTCTTGGATTATTTCATGGTTTCTCCGCGCGCAGCTCGGGAGAAAACCAGAATTTCTTCGCAGAACAGCATGGCAAAAATCTTGGTTTTCTTCAGAACTGCGTGCTGAGAAATCATGATTTTCTCCGGACAGAAGTAGCAGTCACTTGCAGCCACTTGGCAGCCACTTGCAAGTGGCTGCAAAATGGAAAATCAAAATGCGCACCTCCTGTGAGCTCAATGCACTTGTATCTTAGCATCTCTTGCAGTCAAATGTCACTGCATGCCCCCCCTTCGGGCTGGATGCTGGATGGGCGAATCAGTCAGAGGTAAGGCTCCAGGCTGAGCAGAAAACATATTGATATCATGTACAGTGATATCTATCGCATGTCCTGTGTGAATGACAAGCCGGAGTTACTACCGGAGTTGCAATTCCTGCATCAGCAGGCAGGATGAAGGTGTGTACCTCCTAGCACCCCATCAATGTCATGAGTCAGAACTGCTAAGGAATTCGAAAGCACACCGAAAAAGGTAACATTTCAGCCCCCCACAAGCACAGGTTATTCCCCTCCAATTTGAGGGGTGTTATCCAAATGTCAGCATGAACTGCAGACTTGGCCCAACTGCAAACTAGGTCCACTAATTAGGTATCTTGGGCCAATTGATTCTAGCCTGTGCGAGTTCTGTCCCCTTTTCCCCACACGTTCCGCCTCGAACCCGCTGTGGAGTGATGACGACCATCGATGACTCGAGGGCCCGAGTACATCCCCCCCAGAAGCTCCGAGCATCATCGTGGTTGAGGTAGCCGCAGTGAGAGACACAGCTGTAAAGGAAGTAAGAGTGAGACCCCGCAGATTGGCTCCTGAGAATTGAACATATGCATGGGCAAACGATGGCAAACATCCGTATCTGGAAAGAAACAATAGAAGAAGAAACAAAACCTGGTTGTAAGCAAAGATCAGCATTCTACATCTTTAGAGATAACATCTCAATTCAAGCATGAGCACAAACCAAACGACCTTCGCAAGC